TGTAGATAAACACAAACCAGTCGAACAAATTAAGATGCAATTGGTTAAAAAACACCTAAGGCCTTATAAAAACATTTCCAACTGTCTTACAAGCTCCCCCACGATGTCTTGAAAAATATTAGTCACTCCCGGCTCTGTCATAGAAGGAATACTTAAAAAACAGAAGCAGACATTCCACAACAAAGTTTCCATAAAACTTCTGAGAAAAATTAGAGCTTATGACTAACGAATTTTCGCTCATAAGAATAAAATGAAAAGTACCTTCTACATATAGATTTATCTGAGCAGAAAACACGAGGTCACGACATAAACTGAAGATGTGGAAGGATTGTAAAACGAAAAAAGTGGAACTGAGAAACGCATTTTTAAAAAATACTAAGCCTTCTCATCAGAAATTCAAACCTTCCATGCTAGAAAACTTTCAAAAGCATCATCCGTGTAAACTGAGAGTTTCATGAAAATGCCAAGAACGGACATTCTGTAGACTACTTCAAAACTCTTCTTAAGACATTTTCTCAAAAGGTAAGGCTATCTTCACCAAGCAATATTATCGATTCAAACAAACTAAACGTCAGGTAAATTCCAAAAAAAAAGGGCACTGAAATACTCCTGAACATACTTTTTTCTGACAGTCAACCTTATTTCACTTTGCATGTACGAAGCTTTATACACTGCCCAATTCATCTGTGACAGTTTCAGATTTGCCTACTCAGCTCTTGCTAACTTTCATACAATCTAATAAGCCACCGTAATCTCTCTGCCATTCGAGAATACCGTTATACGGATCTGGATGAGCCGAAATTCTCCCCTACACAGTTCCTCTACTCAAAGTATTCACATTAATCACACCGTTTACATTGCGTACATAGAACTCAACAAATGGCATTAAGTGAGTCTATGTTCTGGAGGTGCCTAAATCTGCCTTTACCACTTTATGCGTCCTTCTAGCTGCTTTCTAATTTAAAGAAGTATTCAAAACGTGGCAAAAGTAGTTTCGAGAAAGAACTTTCAACAGAAGTGAGGAAGCAACTATAGATTAGGAAAGACGCTATACACTTGGAACGAATTAAGTAAAAACAAAAAAATAGTTAAAACAAAGATACAGGACGAAAAATATCCGTTACAATCTTACAGCTCAAGTTCTTGTTTTCTCTCTGTCACATTAAAAAGCAATAAGAAAGGTTTATAAGATGGTAGCTGAGTTTCATGTACACAACTAAAACACTGTAGTAAAACAGGTACTTTTGTGCAGACCAGTAAATGATCAAGAAACGCAAATGTGATAGAATTGCGTGGGAGATAGGTTCCCACTTCCTCCGACTTCCTAAGATTGCGACTGGAAAATGCAATACCAAAAAAATTATGACCGTATCTTATATCTTAGCATAAAACCATCAGAAAATTAGCAAGAAACAAACAAACAAGTCTGGAACAATTACAAATGAACCAGGCGGCACCAACCACCACAGATGATAAAAATGAAGTTAGGTCGACGATCAAACGAATATATGGGCGGCATAATTTCTAAATTGGTGTGAAAATTCTTTCGCGGCGGGATCAAAATCACGATGGTTCCCAGAATGCGATCAGCTAGCAACTTATAAAAATGCTCGCTTAACTTTATACTGAGCGGCGTTAACCTGGCTTATTTTTGAAAAACTGCAGGTTTTTAACGTTAATAATTTCCCCAGAATTATACCTACCTGATTTCCGCTGTCTTATGTTAACCCTTGGAGCCGTCGTCAAAATATTCGCTGAAATGAGAGGCTGGGGCTGATTTCCTAAATTACTACTTTTTCTTAGAAAATAAGCTTGTTAGGATCATGCGACTTTTTTCGTTTTTTTGCGTACAAATTTTTTCTTTTCGAGTGTATTATTAAAATCAGTGAACTGTTTTAAGGGAAGTTTACCGAGCCTTTTTTTTTTTTTTTCAAAAAACTTGCTTTCTGTATGCAAAAGTAGGTTAGTTTTTCGCCTGTTTTTTCCCTGCCATTCCCCGTTATAAACAAAGAAAGAGTAGCAGTGGGGTCTCCTGTGGTCGTAAGATCCCTTCACGTATTCTTATATTTCAGTAAAAAGACGGGCTATCTTTGCGCCGAGAATATGAAATATAATGAACGGTCGTTCTCTTCCTTCATATACCTCTTTCTTTTTTTCTTAAACTATTTATTTTCTCATCATTATTTTGAATGTTTTCTCATTCGATAGAGAATTGCATTTCTTCCTCATTTAAAACTTTTTTTTTTGCAACTGCTCGACAATCCCTATTTTTTTCCTGCATATTTTTTATCTGCTATATATGCCAATTACAAATAAAAGGAAAACTGACAGATTTCTATGAATACGAACAAAACTGTAACAGTAAATACGTTGAAACGTATCTGTTAAAAATAAAAAACCTGTCACATTTCTTCTAATATCTCGACAGAAAATAGACGAAAAATCAAAAAAATTGGAATGCAAAGAGCTTAAACATCCAAACAAAATGACATTGATAACACATTATGTACACAGCTATAATTAAAGTTTAGCACACCACCGCGGGGGTCAGTTGGATAACCGCATGCTTCCTTCGTATAACAACAGTGGCATTAAGCCAAAACCACTGGAGGTTCTCCAAACGAAGGCTTCTCTGTTCGCAAAAATTTTCGCAACAAATCAGAAATGAATCCGCC